GCTTAGGGACCTTAGCGTATGATCTAGGTTGTTTCCCTCTCGACTTTGGATCTTAGCACCCAATTAGTCTATCTGTACTAAGGATGACGGCCTGTATTCAGAGTTTCCCTGGGTTGGTAAAGTGAAATGGGGGGCCACCCTAGCCCATTGAGTGCTCTACCTCGGGCCATCGACATCATACGCTCTAGTGAAATAGATTTCTTGGAAAACCAGCTATATTCAATCTTGGTTGGCCTTTCACCCCTAGCCACAAGTCATCCCCGTATTTTGCCACATACGTGGGTTTGGTCCTCCAAGGCCTATTAGGGCTCTCTTCAACCTGCTCATGGCTAGATCTTCCACCTCTGGAAAGCGCCTACACCTAATGGCTTAAGCCGATGTTCCCATTTCCTCGCTGACCCATCAAGCGAAAGGTATGCCGTTAGAGTGAGTGCGCCCACACTCTGCTCCTTCAACTGATTGTTCACATTGGATCTCAGGTTCTCTATTGCACTCCCTGATTGGGGTTCTTTTCACCTTTCCCTCACGGTACTTGTACGCTATCGGTCATTGAGGAATACTTAGGCTTAGAGGGTGGTCCCCCCTTCTCGCATAAAAGCGATCATCATTCGAACATGCCATGTTTTACTGGGAAGGATCGAACCATGGGAATGAATGAACAGGGCTATCACCTTCTTTTGTTGGATCTTCCAATCTTTTTAGAAAACCAGTTCACTGCGCGCCCCACCCCGTCATCAGTCCTGTGTTGCCTATGTTTGCGCCCCAAAACAGTTGCTAACTTTGTACAACTCCATAGGGCACGCTACGGCAACATAGCCTATGCTTGTTGCTTGCTGGTTTTTCCATCATCCAATCCACAACAAATCGAATGAAACCGCTTTGGATTTCTTTTGATGAAAACCCTTGTTCCGCTCTCGCTCGACACTACTAACGGGGTCTCGGTTGATTTTCCTTCCTTTAGCTACTCAGATGTTTTAGTTCGCTAAGTTTGAAAAGTCCAAAGAGTGTAGACTAGCCACGGAGCTTGGATACGGTTTCCTGATCGGAGATCCATGGATCACAAACGCTCTCTCCCCATGGCCTTTCACCTTTGAATGTGTCCTTCCTTCTCAATTCCCGGGCATCCATCCAATGCATGATTTTCGATAGCATCAAACATGACCGGTAGACTAAACACCCACACAATCTTGATTTGACACAACAACACTTTCCACCTCTCTTCCTTCCCTTGGATCAGATAGGAAATCCTCACTTTTCCAAGATAGAAGAGAAGCAAGCAACAGATTGAGCAACTAGCGCGAAAGCCGTTGCGCTAACGCGCATCCTCTTGCTTGATTTTTATACGATTTTCGTCCAACTAAGTAGAAAAGGACAGATGAGTGTAGCTACACGTTGTATAGGGCTGCTCATCTTGCCGTAAGTTATTGACCAGTACCAAATGTGACAACCTTCAATTCAAGTTACAAAACCATGAATTTGAAACAGAAGTTAGGGTGCTTGATGTACAAGGTTATGATCTTATTTTAGGCATTGACTGGTTGTCAAGTTTTGGTCAAATGATAGTTGACTGGAGTAAAGGAATGCGGAAACTCAAGCATAAAGGCAAGTAAGTGATCTTACAAGTGCAAGATGTCACAGCTGAACTAAAGGTGTGCCAGGGAACAATTGACTTGCACAAGGAAAAGAAGAAAGGAAGCCAAGTCATCATAGCTCATCTTTTCACTTCACAAGGTGCTCCGCATTGTTTGTTTTGAAAAGAGAGGGGCGATAGGTTTCTGGTTGCAAGGAGGAGGCAAAGCAAGAGATGGGTGCTTAGAAACAAGGGCTGCTGGACAAAGTATTCACAGGTAAGCTCATAGGCAAGTGATGAGTACAAAACATGGAAAGGTCAGTATAGCTTGAACTACGTAGTAAGGTTTAGTACTAAGCATGATTAAGTCACGGTAATGTTTAATAGATAGAAGTAAGTAACAAGTTCTGGTTTAGCACATATGGGTCACATAGGCATACCGATAGGATAATAGGCTTGTACGCAAAGTCAAATATAGGCTAGAGAGAAAGACCGGTATATGCTTATGTTGAGAAGAAATGCATTGTTTGATTTTCGAAGCAAGTAAAGGCGCGCAACGAAATGCATGTTTCATTTGCAGGTGCTGCCGGTCCAGGGCTCTTCGGCTGAGGTTACTAAATAAAAGAAAGCACAGCCTGGTTTATGGGAATCATAAATAGATGAAGTGGTGTTTTTTCCTTTCCTTGAGGATCTATGCTTTTCATGGCTCTCTTTCTAATGTGGATGACACAAATAGTGGATCAGTTTCTTAATAGCCTTTTCTAAGTGCTTTTTGTTGCCTTCTTCTTATCTTTATGTACCCAGGAGAAAAAGAGAAGAATCTTCACCATTACCATCACCAGTATCACCTCCATTGGTTGGCGTCCCTTTAATTGTCATTTAGTAGTAGATAGGTTTGTTGAGGACATAATCTCCTGGCCTTATTCATGCATGATAAAGGTAGCCTTTCATAGTCCAAAGCCTTTGTGTGCTTTTGTATTGAACTCTTTTCTACAACGTTGAAGGATTACGGGATTAGCAATGGCAAAATAAAAGGATTCAAAAAGGGCTTCTCTTAGGTCCCATACTAGATGACCACCTGGAACTGGATGTACTCGTACTAGAACATTTGGTGATTACCCACCGGGACTTCCTACTAAGTATTTGACACTTCCAAGACTCTAAAGTACTCAATCAATGCGAATAGCAGGAATGGTACTTGCAAAAAAAACATATAGGACCAGAGAAATAGGAATGAGGCTGACCTATCCAGGTAGTGAAGTCTTCCTATGCTAAAGTGCAAGTTCAATATTTGGTTCGAGTAGCTAGCCCATTTTCAGGAGTGGCTTATTATAGTATTCTAAAAAATCATACGAACAAAGAAAGCCTATTTTAGGAGTCCACCATATCAAGGGAAAGGGAGATCAGGCTTGGTCTTCGCTTTGCTTATGAATCTTGATTTCTTTGCTTTTGAATGACTTGATGGGTCTGGATAATAACAAGAAGAGTCAAGGTAGTGAAAGTTGCTATACTCTAGTAGCTGGCAAGGCTAGTGCTAGTGGTGAAGGAAATCAAATGGCAGAGAAGACATGGATTCAGACTTCTTTTTTCAAATAGCCCTTGGTGGTATGCAGATTCATTGAACGAAGAAGGCAGTCTTTCTTCCTCACGAACAAGATCGGAGCACCCAAGGTTAGGCACTCGATTGGATGTTCCCGTACGTACTCTAGAAGTAAGATCGCGAGACGTCCCTATAACACATCGCTAACGTCCTCAAGGCTTTCGTTGTCGAAGAGTGAAAGATCTCACAAGTCCTCCATACGTCAGTTTCTATTCTAGCCCAGCAACGAAGGTCGGTCTGCAACATTCCCTGGTATGAGTATGCAGCGTAGTGACTAGTTGATTCTTCAATTCCTTGAAGCCCGTTGCATAGTCTGTGTCGAGTTGTCCAATCCTTTATCAATAGGTACAACGGCAATCAGCATCCTTCAATTGATGCTAGTTGTTGAGAACTCAGCATGTCGTCGTATTCTAGCGAACTCTGAACCGTTGTTCCGAGTCAAGTAGCAAAGCTAAGGGTAGGATGAATTATAAAAAATGGAGCATTGCCCCTGCTTTCGTGTCAAGAAGCAGAGTAGCAGATGACTTTCCCGAGGTCATAGACGTAACTCAAAAAAAACTCATTCCTTTTGAATTAATTTCGAATAGTTCTTATCTTTGAACCACTAACATCCAAGTATCAATGATGCGCAAGACCTTACAAACAATCTGGTAAGCTTGAGTGGACCGACTGAGATCTAAAATACTATGGTTAGGAACAGCTTGACTTATCTCAACAAGTGCCATTTCTTTTAGGCTTATTCACTGAAATATTAGAAACCCTTTTTTCTTTCTTAATGACTTCGCTCTTCACTTACTTCATATCCAACTATTGATAGCAAACCTAGTTTCAAAGGATACCTAGCGCGCTAAGCATGAATAGGAGACAGTGAAAAACAGCAATCAGTATGAGAACGAAAACAAATAGTAGAAATGAGTTAACTTGGGTATAGGTTTCTAGCTTGGGTGGGAGGACTCACTCACTAGGGAGGTAGCCGCAAAAATAGGAAACATAGGGAGTAGCAGCAATTTCTAATAGGAAAGTAGGTGTAAGCAGCTACCTGATAGAAGTCTAACAAAAGTAGGAAAGAGTTTATTGAGTGACTTGAGGATAACGAAACCACTATCTATATAGATAGGATTTCCTATGCATAAGATTTCTTAGTACTTGAAGCTTAGCACTAGCATTGGCATTTAGTAGTAGTTCTGGCAATGAGTGACTACCTATATATACCTTGCTCAGGGAAAGGAATAGGCATATTTCTAAAAAGGATAAGCTGGCAAGCACAGGTTTCTAAACAGGAGTTAGGTATGGGTTGTGTGATTTGAACGACCAAGTAACGGATACAAGACATAGGCCCACTATAAAAAGGAGTTCATTTTTGCGTAACGGTGCAGTATCGGTATATCCATATGGTTTAGGTCAAGTAGTTGGATAAGCTGGATAGGTCAACAAGTGAGTACGTTGAGGGAGCCATAGTTGATTTGTTTTTTTGTTTTCACGGGCAGAGACAGGTATAGTTGTTTTTACAAGGGCTATTGTTTAGCCAATAGAGACATATTGAATAGGTCAATGCTAGGAATGTGCAGTCACAGATAAGATAAGTAAAGAATAAGTGAGTATGTATGAGTCAACTCATAGGTTTAGTAGGGCTACTAGAAAGAGGAGCTTGGGACAGAGCTAGCAAGATATGAACCATGAGCAGAGGTTGTCCCTTGAAAGAAGCACCGACCAGAATAACAGGTATCGAGATATGCATCTGGATAGGCTGTTTTAGCTAGCTAGGCATTTGCTTGTGATTAATACTTCTTAAGGTAGTGAGCTAAGCAAGTATGTATTCACGGAGAAGCAATGGTACAAGTTGAGTAGTACCGGTTTAGAAAGCTAAGTAAAGTATTTCAAGTATGCACGCATGATAAGTCAAGCAAAACCCGGACGGAGTGGGAGAAGAGATGGATTTTTTTTATTTGTTAGAGGAAGGAGATGCGGTGTAATATGTGTATGTAATAGGACTAGAAAGAGGCATGTATGGTATAAGTAAGGAATAGGCTTTCACAGAAAGGCATGGAATAGCTTAGAGGGATAGTATTTCACAAAGAAGCACGTACCGGTATAGGCATCTGGTTAGGTCAACAAGTTGTTGGTTGGCATTCAAGGTATGTGTAACGTTAAGAAACAGGTGCTAGGTATGAACGATTAAGCTACTAAAAATAGGCGAGATATGGTTTCAATAGCCTAAGAGTGGCGTTCATAGAAAGGGATTCACAGATAGGCATTCAGTGGGCATAGGAAAGTCAAGTTATGTATGCAAGAGACAGGTATGCACGGAATAGGGATAAGCGAGCACCGGGAGAGATATGCCAGTAATAGGACTAGGTTTATAGAAATAGGCATATGTGAAATGGGCTACTAGATCATTAAAGTATAGGTTTTGGGTAAGCTCGCTCATATCAAAAGAAGAAATTGAAGGAAATGAAGCATAAGCTGACTAGGTCAAATCCTAGGCTGTTTCAATAGACAAAAGAAAATAGAAAAAAGTAGTGAGTGAGAAAGAGATAAGTAAAAAAATCAAAGACGACCCAGACAAAACAATTATTGAAATCGTTCTATTTCCTCCATATCCTCAAACATATGCCTATCCCCGCACATGTTCTTACTCGCATATTGGACTTACGAAAGGTAAGCCTTATTCCCAGCTATTTAACTAAAAAACTCTTCACAATGCTTAACGCCCATATGTTCATTCTTTCTTTGTTTCTCATGTTTCCATGCTCCTTTCTAGTGGCAGGAGGCAAAGAAGAGACATAATGGAGATAATGATGGTTCAAATCCAACCATTCCTTGGGCGTGGTTCGAGCGAGAATTCAATGATCAGTATTTAGATGTTATGTCTCGGGAAGCGCTTCGACAGCAATTCGTTAGCCTAAAACAAGGGAGTGGTACTGTTCAGGACTACAATATGAAATGCGACAACTTGATGAGGTATGCTTCCGACATTGTGGCAGATGACTTCTGCTTGCGACGGCAATATCTAGAAGGGCTTCATCCCAGATTTACACAAATAATCGACCTTCTTGAGTGAGACTAGTGGATCTGATGGCACATGCGCTACGAGTGGAGTCATATGAGCCTAACAAGGGTTAGCAAAGCTTTGTTCTCAATGTAAAGCCATGAGTTGATGGATCATCAATCAAGGCCAAGTCAGTCAATGAATTCCCCGCCATCAGCAAATCCAGCTAAGCAAAATTCTGGCGTTGTGAATTACGAGAAGGTTTGGTGTCGATATTGTCAAGGGAGACATCATGAGTCAACTTGCTACAGGAAGAATGGCACTTGTTACAATTGTGGTGGGCTCGGTTATTTTCGCTAGGGAGTGTCCCAAGCCAAATTCAAAAGTCATGCTTTGAGACTGAACCAAACCGATGACACAGGGAGTAGTGGTGAGAAGTGGCGGTACACAATAGCCGAGAGGTCATGGAGGTCCCATCTCTCAGCGGGACGTGAGATTTGGAGGTAGAGGAGGCACGCGAGTCATAGTTCAAGCACATCACAGCGAGGCTGGGGGACCAATCGACAGACTAGATTAGACAGATGACACTACCATGGCCACAAAACTGATAGCAGGTATCTTCAATATTTATGGGTGCTTTGCTTACGTAGTGATTGATACTGGATGCAGTCACTCAGTATCGTCTAAAGCTTGGGTCAAAAGATGTGGGCTAGCGACAATAGAGAGTGGAAAAACAATGTTGATCGGAACACCCACCTTTGAATTCTTCATTCAGGAATTGAGGTGTTCATACCTTAAGATACAGATTGCAGGATGAGAGATAAGAGTAGACCCAATAGTTGCAAAAGCAGGACGATATGATGCTAGGCTTGGAATGGTTGACTATGCATCATGCCACGATTGATTCATAGGAAGGTGACATTCTAGAAACTGGGGACTAAGCCATTTTCATTGCAATTCAGACAAGTTGGTGATCGAATCACGACAATCTCAACTTTACAGGCACAGCATCTAATCGAGTCAGGTTGTACCGCCTACCTTGTATTAGCCATGCAGATGAAATCAGAGGTCAAGAACCTATCATCTATTCTAGTGGTGTCAGAATTTACCGACGTCTTCCATGAGACTCTACCAAGATTACCGCCTGAACGAGAGGTTGATTTATGCATCGAAACCAAATAAGCAATGGATGGAGCAACTAGCGCGAAAGTTGTTGCGCGTTTTGGTTTGCTTTATCCGCCATAGTAGAAAGAATAAGCTGCTTCTTGTTTAGGGCAGGCTATCTTGACTCTTGAGCCTGAGAGGGAGAAGGCTTCCCGCATGGGTGGATTAGCAATCCCTAGTCTTCCATAATGTGTATTGGACTTATGTTTCCTCCTCCTCGAAGATGATGGATCTATCTGGTCATCGAAGCTAAATGGACCCGAGCTGTTGATGACCGAATAGAAAGGTTTATTTTCAATGGCAAGTCCTAGATGATGTAGGCTTTGCTTATCCTGGCCAACCACAAAGTACGCATCTCATGTGCAAAGAGACGATCTTCCATCATAGACTATAATAAATAGTAAATGGACCAATCACCAGTTTATTGGCTCGTTCATTCACTCGCTGGGTAAGGAGGCTATAACTTACAAGATGTCAAAGGGAAACCATTGTGGAAGTTCTTCGGTAAAGGGCTTTAAGCGAGTAGGGGTAGCTGATACTATGGCAGGGATTCGCGAAGAGCAACGCCTTACAATGTTCATGACCAATTGGTCAACATCTAGCAAGAAAATGGATGCGTCGTCGTGGCTTATGACTTTCAAACCCTTTTATGCCTTTGATACCACCCTCGATAACGCACTAATAGACCCCGTTGTTGACTCACGTTGGATTCAATCGATTGCTTTCCGCATTTCTAGCCACGTTTCAGCCCTATCCTTCTGTTCTTTATGCAGTAGTTGGTTGTTTATGGCCAGCTAGCCTAGAGACTAGGGATAAGATCAAGCAATAGCCAGCATTCAATTCTTCTTTACATCTACAGCTCCAAGAAAAGAATTAGAAATTGAACCTGTCCACCAAGAGCCAACCTATAGTGAAATTGGTAAGTTGAGGGCGCTAAGCCTTTTGTTTAAGATGAGTAAGGACTCCTTTCTTTCACACAACCAGGAATAAGAATAATCCAAAAGTCACTAGATTAGGAAAGCATAGGATCGAAGTCTTGAATGGACTCATTCATTGCCTTAGAATATGCCCACGCTGCGCGCCCTTGACATTTTGCATCACTATACATCTTTTCTCCATTAGCCCCACACGAACCAGATTTGGTTTTTGAAGCACTAGAAAAGCCAAGCAAAACTCCAAAGTGCCCGGGCCTATGAAAGCTGAATGAGGGTAGCCTCTCAATTCCTTGATATTAGTAGGAAATGACATCCCAAATGTCTTTTGTTTTCGCAGGATACACCTTAATCCCTTTCTTTCGTACTTAGAATCTGAGGTTAGAATATGCTCGACTGATCCTATTTCACTGTCACCACATTTGCTTCTTCGGTTGATGAGTCTCAGGTGACTCTATTAGATTCTTGGGTCGAGGAGTTTTTAGTTTCTCTACTAGGAGAAATGGTGTTTGACAGGAGGGCCAACAGTGTTAAGAAAAACAAAGGAGATTCTAGCAAGAGCTGGGATACATAAAAACCAAATGCTTAATGTAGGGGATTTTCATATTGTCAGATTAAGAAGGGTTAGGGGAACCATTCAATGCCAGAGTAAGCTAGGATTAATACAGCTTAATTGAAGACTTCTTTCTCTTTTTACTGAGGATCATTCTTCCCGAATAGAGTACGCGTAAGGATCTTCACTTTTTTATTAGTAAGGAGTAGCGAAAAGAGACTTTCTATTTCTCAGAAGCCTGCCTCCATCTAGTAGCTTTTTTTTCTCATGAAAGACCCTTTGACTTGATGGCCAGAATGCCGATGAAAGAGAACGGAAGGAAGTGTACCGCGTAAGTAAGTCTCCTAAAAATAAGTAGTAGCCCTATCCAATTCATTCTCTTATGCCTACAGATCGATTTTGAGCCAATGATCAGAGTGTTTGTTTGGAAGGAGGTAGTCCCATGTAAGTGGATGTAGGCAGATAGCCTTCCCTTGTTGAAGAGGCTAGTCTTTGTTTCGGATTCCCATGTTGACGAAGAAAGTGCCTGAGCTATCACATTTCTGAAATTTCTTATTCGAGGAATTTTGATGTTTACGATTTGCGTGTTTGGGTGAACCTTGACCAGCCTCGTTATCTAGTGAGCCAATGAAATTTTCTTCCAGAGAGGAGCCTTACCTAAAGAAGAAACTATGCCTCTGGTTTGAAGCAAGAAAAGATAGCCTTTACCATCTTGATGATAACGAGTCACTAGTCTACAACGTAAGCAGATTCCTGAACTGACCCAGCTCTACTTATGCAAGTCCGGCATAGACAATTCACTTATATCTTGAGTAGCTAGCTATATAGGATCTAGAGAGCTATCTTCTTTGTTGAATGCTCTTTGAGAGTAGTAGAGCCAAGAGGAATAGTATGTTGACCGGTGCTACAAGTTTGGAGTTGAAGCCCGAGTGTTAGTGAGTTTCTTTTTCACATGAGATGTAGGCAAGCACTGAGGTAGCCGATACCACTCCGAACTCCGCGCCTTTCCATACACTCTTACTCCAGACCATTTGAGAAAAGCATACTACGTCTTATTGCCAGATTAACGTTCAGGCCAAGCACGCACCGATTGCACTCTGACCTTATCTTGTCAGGCGTAGACGAGACAAGCAATGAAACGAAGAATTTACTAGTGAAGCCCAAGAAAAGCGGAGACAAACCCAGGAAGAGATCTCGATCAAAGCTGCTGCGCCTTTTTTCCACGACAATATCTGAAACACTTCATGATATATAAAACACAACCACAATCTAGATCTGTCAAAATGTGAGTTGGTAGCCCACCCGTGCAACTTAGAAATGTGGTATAAGAACAATCGGGCAACATCGGGGAGCGATAAATGGGTTTACCGAGTATAAAGAAAGAGCTGATGTTAGAACGCTTCAAAGCCCGGCTAGTAGCCAAAGGTGCTTGAGCAAAGAGGAAGGAGTAGATTTCACACACTTTCAATACTACTTTATGCGACCCACATCGATGCGTGTTGTACTTACCATTGCCTTATCTTTTGGTTGGCCATTACATCAATTGGATGTCAATAATGCTTTTACGCATGGTGACTTGGAAGAGCTAGTTTACATGCTTCAACCACCGGTTTGACTTATCCAACCTATCCACTGACATGTTTGTAAACTTAGAAAGGCGCTCTATGGCCTTAAACAGGGGCCCCCGTGCTCGGTACAACAAATTTCAAACTTGCTTGCAATCACTAGGCTTTCATTCTTCTCAATGCTTCGCCCTTCCTTATTCCTCTTCGTCTTGGTATGATACTTTCCTAAAAGCAAGGATTTTCTGAAAAAGTGATCTAATCTAACAATTGAATGAAAGCACATGGTTTCAGATCCAACCACATGGTTTGTGGCTCGGGCAAGGGATCTTTGTAGTTTTTTACGCTAAAAAAAGAAGCTGTTATTATTTGCTCCACTCTTGCCATCACGCTCTGTCTTGAGCATCTCCCACATCTAAGCGCAAGCCTTGCTTTCCATTGGCTGATTCTCTATTCGGTACAAGTCAAGTGGTCCGGGGATGGATTCTTGGTGAAGAGCACTTTTGGATTATCTAGTTGTTGCTTTGACTACCCCAATACCCGAGGATTAAAGAAATACGATTCCTAGCGCTAGAAAAATGCATATATAGGGTCCAGAATTCATGCAATGGAATGAAATAAGGGTTTAAGCCGGGGATTAAAGAAAAGGTAATATCCTCGGGAAAGGCTAAGCACATTCGAAGAAGACGGGCTTTCTATTTCGCATTCTCTGGCGGCAAAGCCAACTGGAAGCAAATGGGATGAGAATTGCTGATATCCTTGGTACTTCATCAAGTGCGGATTTCATGAGTTACTGTGATTGCATAGCGGATTTGACATTTCCAATCAGTACGCTTTCAGGTGAAGCCTTGGGAAGAGATCATTTCCTCCACCCACTCCAAATTCAAGTGCTTCAATGATGAATAGTGGGATCAACTATACCTCTTCAACTATACCTCTGGTTCTTCTGGCATATTTGATGAGACCCATTCTTTTTATGTATGCAAATTTCCTTGATGATTGCGTAGCGATTATGGATATTTCCCCAATCTTTCTTGCTTATGAAACATCTTTGTAGATTGGAAGAGTTCCACTAGGATAGCAAATCAGCTACTTTGAAAAGACCCGAGCTCGAGATCATTGGAGAACATGGAGGAGGAAGCGACAAGTGATTTCTTCAAGGCGGCGCTCTTCATTGTAGCTGCAGGATCCAATGACATTTTGGAGTATCTTTCACCTTCAGTACCATTCTTTGGACGAGAGAAGCCTTATCCTTCATACTTTACGGACGTGTTGGTTTCAATCGACATTTTATCGGAAGGTTCTACCAATTTATCCCTATTGTAGTTTTGTGTCGCTTGCTCTTGTTTGCTGCTGACCTCTATTTTCTTTCCCTCAATTAAGAGGCTAAATGAACTGGGTGCTCGAAAGTTTGTTGTGTCCGACGTCAGACCTTTGGGTTGTATATCAGACGTTCGTGCTCTGGAGTTCATGCCTCCGGGGAGTGTTCAACATCCATGAATCGAGTCTTGAAGGTTACAACAAGAAATTGAAGAGGATGGTCGAAAAAGATGAACGGGAGCTGGGTCCAGAGAGCAAATTTGTGTACGTAAATCTGAAGGAGTTTTTAGCAAGCGAAGCAGAGGAAGGAACCCAAAGCAATGGAAAGAACGACAACCTAGGAGGTAGTAGTAGTACGAAGCCGGAAGGTGGTTTGATTCAAAAGTTGAGTGAGGAGGCTTCGACCATCGCCACAAAGATTCTTATGAGGCATGCTTCTTATGGGCTGCCACGTGGGAGGTACTGGAAGACTTTTCAAAGGGCTAAGTATAGGCACCGGGAAAGAGTGGGGGTTGAAGTGGAGTTGCCACGATGATTTTTGGTAAGTCAATTGCAGACGAACTGAGAGGGAGAAGGCCGGGCTTCCCAGATTGTGCAAATTAGCCATTCCACTTCGGGGCCGTGTGCACATAGCATGGAGGCGATGCCTTA